TCCACACCAGCTCCTTTCTGGAAAAACCACATCTATCTTCATTTCCTCTCTCCAAAGCCTAATTGAAATCCATTTCTTCTAGGATGTCATTTTCTCACAATGATGAGAAGCAATAAGGTAGTTAAATCTACAAGTGTAACATGAAACACAAAATCGATTCTTTTTTTGCCCTGGGAAAAATTGTCTATCTTCCTGTACTATTCAGACCATTTTTCTCACCCTCAGCATGTATGCAGTGTCTCTTCGTGGATTTGAGTTTTTATGCATGAACACTTGGGCCTCCGAAGAGTTTCTTGTAAGCTATTACCGTTTGTTATAGGCATGAAAAAACACTATGAGCGATAAATCATATTTAAAAACGTTTATCTGACGTTAGGCATTTCTTAAAATTGTCCAAGTCTTGTAGCTTAACACCTGCTGTGGCTATGCTAGAAATTTCACAGTTTCAGAAAAAAATATTGTGATTCATTAAATATCAATAAATAGGACCAGCCAGTCACATGGTGCTAAAAGTGGATAGATCTGACATGGTTGACTGCACAGTTCAAGTCTAGACTCAGCACCTTGAAAACCATGTTAGGTGCTGTAATTAGTAGAGAGTGTAAAAGAGGTGCCACAGCCAAAGGAATACCTTAAGGAAGACTCTGAAGGAAGAAGAAGATCTTTACTAGCAGCTGGTAAACCACAGAGCACTTGGTAGCAGGGGTGAGTTGGGAAGGTTCATGTGTGAATTGTGTGCAGGGTGTTTGCTTCTCAACAGTCTCAGTAGTTGGCGTGCAAATATTTTCTCAGAAATATTTAAAACTGTACTGTCTCTGTTACTATAGAGTCACACTCAAAATCATAACCAATATTTTGAAAGTTTTCTTTAAAATTCAGTTTTTCAGAATTTTGGAAGTTATTAACTGTCAAGAACTATGGAGGGAACCAGCAGTTAGCGTAATGGCTATGTCGCTGGACTCCCACGTGGTCGACCGCGGTTCGTGTCCCGGACCCGGTGGCTTAAAACTCATGCCGGGCACATGTGCGTGTGTGCCCAAGATCCTGAGAGGAGAATGGAGGAGATTGCGGTGTGACCATCCCCCCTGGTGGGTGATTTCTCGCTTTCTGTCTCTATGTCTCTCTCTGTCTGGCGAGCGCACGTGCCCTACAGTGAAAATCTCTCCAAAAAAAAAAAAAAAAAAAAAGAACTATGGAGTATGAGCAAAAATTTTATGTAAAGTCAATTTTTGTGGGAAAGTAAAAAAAATAAATAAAATTTTAAAATATATGCTGGGTGTTTCCTCATATTTTCTCTCTCTGTCTCTCACTCTCTAGCAAGTGCACATACCCTATAGCAAAAATTTTTTAAAAAATCAATCAATTCATGTCATTATACATTCGTCCAAACCCATAGACTGTACAAACCCGAGAGTGAACCATAATGTAAACCACAGGCTTTGGGTGATGATGACATCCATGTAGGTTCATTCATGATAAGAACTGTGCTGCTCTGGGAGGGTGCCAATAATGGGGTGCTGTACATGTGGGGGGCTGGGGTGCACAGGAATGATCTGTACATGCTGCTCAGTTTTCTATTAAAACTGCTCTAAAAATATTAAGTCTAAAAACAGACAAACAAAAAGCCTGTGTACCATTTGAGATAAGCAATGGTTTTAGCTCCTGTTTACTGTGACCTAGAAAGTCCTTGCTGCACATTTTCTGATGACAATTATCTGTACTTACAGCTATCATAAGCCTCCCTACTAAACTGGAGCAGTCAAGTAACCGCTAGAGCAATGAACAGCCTTCATAAAGTTCCCTCCCCCTGTGAACTTCTACCAAGACCAAAGTGTTTCCCACAGCTTGTCTTTTACTAGCTAAGGAAGGTACTAGAACAGTTGTTCTCCCCCTGTCTGCGGGTCAGAATCACCTTAAAAATCTTGGGACCAGCAGCTGGCACAATGGCTACATCACTGGACTCTCACATGGCCTACTACGGTTTGCGTCCTGGACCCAGCAGCTTAAAACTCACTCCAGGCACATGTGCGAGTGTGCAAAAATCATGAGAGGAGAATGGAGGAAAAGAGATAGTGGTGTGACCATCCCCCCTGGGGGGGTGCTTTCTCACTTTCTCTCTATCTCTCTGTCTCTTTCTGGCGAGTACACATGCTCTATAGCAAAAACCTCTTAAAAAAGCAAGGATGATGGACAAAGGGACTCAGGGAGCACAGGTGCCCAAAAGCAAAAATCTCCCTAAAAGAAAAAAAGATTATACATTCGTCCAAACCCATAGACTGTACAAACCCGAGAGTGAACCATAATGTAAACCACAGGCTTTGGGTGATGATGACATCCATGTAGGTTCATTCATGATAAGAACTGTGCTGCTCTGGGAGGGTGCCAATAATGGGGTGCTGTACATGTGGGGGGCTGGGGTGCACAGGAATGATCTGTACATGCTGCTCAGTTTTCTATTAAAACTGCTCTAAAAATATTAAGTCTAAAAACAGACAAACAAAAAGCCTGTGTACCATTTGAGATAAGCAATGGTTTTAGCTCCTGTTTACTGTGACCTAGAAAGTCCTTGCTGCACATTTTCTGATGACAATTATCTGTACTTACAGCTATCATAAGCCTCCCTACTAAACTGGAGCAGTCAAGTAACCGCTAGAGCAATGAACAGCCTTCATAAAGTTCCCTCCCCCTGTGAACTTCTACCAAGACCAAAGTGTTTCCCACAGCTTGTCTTTTACTAGCTAAGGAAGGTACTAGAACAGTTGTTCTCCCCCTGTCTGCGGGTCAGAATCACCTTAAAAATCTTGGGACCAGCAGCTGGCACAATGGCTACATCACTGGACTCTCACATGGCCTACTACGGTTTGCGTCCTGGACCCAGCAGCTTAAAACTCACTCCAGGCACATGTGCGAGTGTGCAAAAATCATGAGAGGAGAATGGAGGAAAAGAGATAGTGGTGTGACCATCCCCCCTGGGGGGGTGCTTTCTCACTTTCTCTCTATCTCTCTGTCTCTTTCTGGCGAGTACACATGCTCTATAGCAAAAACCTCTTAAAAAAGCAAGGATGATGGACAAAGGGACTCAGGGAGCACAGGTGCCCAAAAGCAAAAATCTCCCTAAAAGAAAAAAAGAAAAAAAAAATACCCAAGCCTCACCCCCAGTCAATTAAACTAGACTGTTCAGGAGCAGTACTCTTTCAGTGTGCAGCCTACAGAGAAATACCGGAACAACATCAATTATCCTGTGTGCATGGGGCGAGAAGTAATATGTCCAAAATCTAATGGTTTTGTTCATCTGTAAACACCATCCATCTGTGAACCGGATTCTGAACAGCCTACAGCCTAATGAAGCTGTTAAGAGAGTGATATGGAGATTAATCTTTAAGGGGAATGTAGAAAGTCAGCATGTATCTCTAATGACTTATGTCCCTTGTTAGGAAGAAAAAGAGAACCTGAAATTGCCAGGTTGTATTTTAAAAATCCCATATAACTGTGGTTCATATATCAGCCCCAAGCTTCTGGATCCCGATAAGCACTTGCAAATTGGAGACAGGTTAGGTGCCCGTATTGTCAGGATCATATGTTGTGCTTAGAGGTGGAAGAAAACCACAGAAGGGTTTTACTGCTCGATCTTCTATGAATTTAGACAATATATCTCCATTGGCTTTGGCTTTTCCTCTAGATGTGTGTCCTACTCACAGTTAAATAAAAAATGTAGGCGGATGTTGCAGACCCTGCCTGCGGTGTCTGCGGAGCCTCACTGGTTGTAACACGTGTCCCGCTCTGTGGGAGACATCAGTGATGGGGCAGGTGGTGCATGTGTGTGGCAGAAGGTGTACAGGAGCTCTCTGTGCTCCAGGACGCCGAAGATCAGGCCTAAAGGGAGTCACTCATGCTAAAATGTCACGTCATCAAACCAAAACTTTAAGGAAGCCAAAACATACCCAATAAACCGGTTTTTATTGAAAACAGGTGATTCCAGTCACTCCATGTTAACACTTTAAGAAAATGAACTTCATGCACATCTTGTGGCTTTAGGTTGATATCACTCTCCAGTTAGAAGTTTATATAATTAGGGCCCAGTTCTGGTAGTGTGCTCTGCTAAAAACAAACAAACAAACAAACAAAAAAAATAACTTTCTCTATAGGCTAGGATCACTTGGGAGGCCTGGGTTCCATTACCCTGTCCAACCTAAAAGCTGGACCGTGATGGACACCTGTAATCCTAGCAACTTAAGGAGTGTGAGGTAGGAAGATCATGAGCTTGAGGCTGCCCTAGGCAACAAAGCAAGATCTTCTAAAATTAAAACAAAACAAAACAAAAGAGTGGCGGGCCGTTTGGTTGCATGGTTCCAGTCCTAGATCCAGTGGCTTTAGAAACATGTCATGTGCATGAGTGTGCATGCCCAAAATCCAACAAAGAGGGAGAGATGGAGGAGAAGGGATTGCAGTGTGACCATCTATCCTGGCTGGGGTTGGGGCTCACGTTCTCTCTCTCTCTCTCTCTTTCCAGGAAGAAAACACTTCCTGCAGCAAATGTAAAAAAAAGAAGAGGAGGAGGAGGAAAAAGAGGAGGAGGAGGAAGAAGAGGAAGAAGAAAGAAAGAAAGATGAATGAATGTGGTAGCACACACCTGTGGTCCCACCTACTTGGGAGGCTGAGGCAGGAGGACTGCAACACAGTAAGACTCTGTCTTAATAAGAAACAGGTTTCTGGGCCAGCTTGTGGCATGGTGGTTGAGGCAACTGTGTGGTCCCAATCTCAAGCCCAGCAGCTTGAAAAACACACAGGCCCATATGCATGCGTGAGTGCCCGGATCCCCAGAGGAGAATAAAGAAGGGATTGTGGTGTGGCCACCCCACTGGGTGGTGTTTTCTCACTTCCCCTCTCTGTTTCTCTGTCTCTCTTCATCGAGTGCACATGCCCTACAGCGAATTTTTTTAAAAAAGGGTTCGTAGAATTAGAACTTACGTTTTTCTAATGGATGGAAATAGCTCTCTTACCTTCCCTGACTTTGGTGCCTCCAAGCACTATGGCAGATATGCCAACAGAAGATGACAGAAGCCAAATACAGATATTGATGATCTTTGCCTTCAAGGGCGTGCGGAAGTCCAGCGCCTTCACGGGGTGGCACACGGCGATGTAGCGGTCCACGCTCATCATGGTCAGCGTGAATATGCTGGTGAACATGTTGTAGTAGTCGATGGAGATGACAATCTTGCACAGCACGTCCCCGAACGGCCAGGAGTTCATCAGGTAGACTGTGCTCTGGAAAGGCATGGTGGTCGTAACCAAAGCATCTGCCAAAGCCAGGTTAAATATGTAAATGTTGGTTGCGGTCTTCATCTTTGTGTATCTAAAAGAAAAAGGACATATTGTTTCCCTCCATTTCCAACTCAAATTCGTGAGGCGGATGGGTTTATGACAGTGTTTGGATTACTGACTCTGCTTTTCGTTCACTTATTTTCTACATCCCATAAAAAGGACTATTATAGACATGAGAGGTGGTAGGAAAAAATGGGCAAAGATTCCTGACTTTAGCTTTTATTCTAGTGTTTGCTCAAAAAAAAAAATTAAATGAAAAAAATAAAGAACATAGCAGAGAGAGAGAGATAAATATTGGGTTGTCAGAAAAGTCATGACATAATTTTCTATGTACAAATGCGTCATGACTTTTCTGATGACCCAAGAGACGAATACAGATGGTTCCCAATTTAGGATAATTTGACTTTGTAATTTGTTATCTTTATGATAGGTTTATCAGAGCATAATGCCCTCGTAAGTCAAAGAGATCGATATACGTTAGATTTTGTTAATAGACTTTCATATATATCGGTCTTTATTTCATGACTGCCAATTCATTTTAATTCTACCCAGGGCTGCTTGGCTTTAAGCATTTTTAAATGCTGTATTTTTTTTTCTTTCACTTGTGTAAAACAAAGATAAAACATTATGTCCTTGGGTTATGCTGAGAAATCAACCATTATAATTATCATATCTTGTGAAAATTCAAAATGGTTTTCAATTTTTAAAATACATCTAATTGCAACGGTTAAAATACCACTAGGTTTGTTGATTCTTGTTTGCCAGTGTGCCACTAGCTTATTATTTAATGTGTTACTATAAAAACAATCTAGGCTGAGTTCTTCTTTTATGTGTGTCAGAGAACTAAACGTTGTCTGGTGTAGTAGGTGAGAAATAATTCTGTCTTTACTCAAATATTGAGAGATTTGTAAAGTGTATATTTTGTCTATTCTTCCAGTGGAAGGGACAGTAATTTTTAAGGTAAGTCAGAAATATTTTCCTTAAGGGGCTGGCAAGTGGCATGGTGGTTAAGGGCACTGGATTCCCACATGGCCAACCACGGTTCAAGTCCTGGACCTGGAGGCTTGCTTTCTCACTTTCTCTCTCTCACTCTGTCCCTCTCTGGTAAATTAAAATAAGAAAAATAAATAAATAATTAATTAATTAATTAAAATCATTTAGAAAAACTAAATATTTTCCTTCAGCCTGAATTATTCTTTCCATTCTAACATGAAGTTTAAAACAATTCCATTTTCAACTAACACTGAATGAAAAGGGTTGTTTCTAAAGAAAAAAAAAAACTGAAAATCTATCTGTTCAGATATTATCCTCCTAAAAATGATTTAACATTTTAAAAAGTGAATCTTACTTTCTACTCTTTCAACTTTTTCCCCCAAAACACTAGCAGAGTCCAGGAGACAGTATCTTTGAGACTTAACTTCCATATTTACGACCCTGATATTTCCCTCTTTCTTTATGAAGCTAGACTATATTTTTTGCTTTATAAAGGTAGTCAGACCTGAGTTCAATTCCTTAGTTTTATCAACAAATAACAGGTATAATTCGGACAGGTCATTCACCACCCTGACCCAAAGAACGAATCTAATCTATTTCACGTTCCCCAACTCTTCTCCTTTGATACAGGTAGAAGTCATAAATTACTGAAGGAAGCAGAGGGGAGTGTAATCACTAGGTGATACAGAAAGTTCAGAAAAGTTCCAAGACCTTCAGAAAGGTCAGAAAGTTACAAAGAGCAAAACTTGAATTTTCCACATGCCAAGTACTATGCAAATCCATGTAAATGATGAGCTATGTGGACACAGTAGTAGGTATTATGGACAATCTAGACGTGGCTCGAAGTGTACAGGAGGATGCGCATGGGTTATGTGCAAGCACTGCACCACTCTGATAAGGGACTTGAGCATCTGTGGATTTGTTGCCTGTTGAGGAAGAGGAGGGCCCTGGACCCAATCTCCTGCAACTGTGCGCATCCTTAAGTAATCATAAAATGTTGAGTGATAGCTTGCTTTTAGCTTTTCAAAATATTGCAACCAATAAATGTATGGAACCGCATAAGGGCTTGAACGTATAAGGAATTCAGATCCTGTCATCAAATCTCAAGAAACGGGAGATCAGCATGGAACAGAATCATAAAAGCCACTTCTTCCCTAAAAATCGCTGTGTTCAGCACTCTGCTGGACAGCTCACGTGCTTTATCTCTAGCCCTCACAGAACCTTCCAGAGCAGCTATTTGTATCTGTTCTGTGGGTGAGGCAACTCAGAATTGCAGAATCTTCCTAAATTCTCAAGGCCACATAGTTACAAAAGGCAAAGCAGAAATTCAGATTCATGCCTTCTCACATCGCTCCAGTTCTTTACAGTATCTTGACTTGCATGTACTTATATGAGTCTCGAAACTGCCCTTCTAGCTGACCCTGCGGGTCAGTCTTCTCCATTATTCACATGAAGACAGTTAGGCTCAGGTAAGTGATCTGTCCCATGTAGCAGAGGTGGGACTTCAGTGGAAGGGTCTTTGAAGGGCAGCAACAGAGCCTGTCTTCCAGGGCTCCGGAAGACACAAGCTTATATACCCATGTAAAAGTTGTCAGAATCAAAATGGAATAATTCATATCAACACAAGCTATGCCCTAACTTAAATGGAGCTGGGAAGGCCACAAAGGTTGTGGTTCTCACCTGAGTGTACCAGATAACCACAGCCATGACCAGGACTTTGCCAGAACATAGCCTTGTGACCTCTGCACAGAAACCACCTGTCCAACCTTGGACTGAAATTACTTTGTAATGGATCCTGATAGGCAAGAATAATTGGCCCCCAAAAATGTAGGCAATCCCTCCTCATCGTTTTGTTTTGTTTTCTTTTCTTTTCTTTTTCCCTCGTCTTCCCTTACATTCAGGGATATACCTGTGGTTGACTATGGCAAGCTTCTTCCATGTTCAATACCTATTCCAAAATACTCTTTCCTTCTTTTAGAGAGTCTCTCTCTGCCTATTACTTAGAAATTGACATCTAGTGCTGGGTGGGGAGAACTCGTGAGTATAATTAAAGGCAATGAATAAACTATGCATTCAAGAAATATTTGTTGATGCTCTTCAATGTACCACACTGAACTGGGCTTGCACACGTGTGAATATAAAACAAGACTCATCCTCAGAGACATCTGGCTGAGCCTTCAGATATTGTTTGTACGTAATCAAAAGAAAACATTGCCAGTCTTTTCAAACATTGTATGTCCACTGGTGAGAAAACATGAACGCTTTCTTACTGGGATAGGCTATGAAGTTATTTTCCTTCTTATCTGTGCTGCTTTACAAAAATCCACAAGCACTTTAAGTAAAAAGGCACCATCTGGGTGGGAAGTTTTGGCTGGTGAGGAAAGGCCGCAGGTGGGCTGGCAGCGAGCTGCTGTGCTTTCTGTGTCCTCGCTGCAGGAGCATATGGCGTGAAAAGAGCAGTCTGTGGCTGTCCCCCTAAACCTGGCAATGTTACAAACCAGGGAACACAATATGGCGCACTGGACGTGAGGCAGGGAAGGAGGGAAGAGTGGTCCACAGGGAATTTGGGGTACAAGCAGTGAGGAAGACCATTGCCAGGCAATGTGGCAGACCACCCTAGTACACCCCTTCTTACAGAGAATGGAGGGGTGGCTTCCCGGTTGGCACCCACTGGCACTCATGAGAAAACCAAAGTTTTCCGCTGAGTCGTCAGGGGCAGATGCGTCACTCGCTCACCACGCTCACCACAAGGTGCCACCGGGAAGAACGCCAAGCTTTGAAGGCAGCTTCCTGGCCCTTGCACGTGCCTGCCTGCTCAGACGTGCCGCGGGAAGAGAGAACTGCCAGGTTCCGACACCCTGCTATCACGTACATTGCCGCAGTCTGGCTTCTGCTTTTTCATTTCAGTGGTGCTTCTTTAACTAGGAACTCCCTTTCCTATCCTGCCAACAGGGTAATACACCCGTAAGCTCGGTGAGTGAGCACCACAATTCAAACAGCAACACACTGGCAAATTTATTTTCAGTTATTTATGTCCTTGACTTACAATTATCCCCCACATTGATAGACATGCACCCTTTCCTCTCTCCCCCGTTACATTCATGCTCCCTCTCCCATGTTTTTTTTTTTTTTGGAGAGGTTTTTTTATTTTTTTGGGGGGGGTTGTTTTGTTTTTTTGTTTTTTTGTTTGTTTGTTTGTTTTTGCTATAGGGCAAGTGCACTCACCAGAAAGACAGAGAGACAAAAGCGAGGATGGCCACACCTCAATCCCTTCTCCTCCATTCTCCTCTCAGGATCTTGGGCACGCACGCACACGCGCCTGGCATGAGTTTAAGCCGCCCGGTCTGGGACGCGAACCATGGTCAACTACATGGGAGTCGAGCAACATAGCCATTACACTAACTGCTGGTCCCCCCTCTCCCATCTTCATTCCTTCATTTTTTAAAAGTTTATTCATTTATTTCCTGAGAGAGAGAGGCCCAGAGAGACAAGGAAGGAGACAACACCTCCGACAAGGTCTTCATGCTGTGAGCCACCACGCCTCAGACAGGATGCAAACCCGTGAACTTCCGGTGTGGCTTCGGCACCATTACCACCACGCCACCAAATCTGGTCCATCCATTCATTTTTTTTCTCAACACATTTTAAATGTCTGCCCCTTAGATATCAATTATTGGACTTTGAGTATAACTAAAAAATAAATTCAATATACAGATCCTGACCCCTAGGGACTTTTAAACTAACCGAACCCAAATTCTAATGTAAACTCTAGAAATACACAAAAGGGGAAGATCAGTCTGGAGAGAAGTCATTAGAACATCTGAGAAAACTTGGCAGCATCTTGAGCTTTGAGAAAGAATGGACAGAGAGGCCAGATGGCCAGTGACTCACTCTGGGCTCAGCCAGGGAATGGATTTGGGGTTTGAGGATCTTACCTGGGGGTAACAGGAGGCCAGCGAATAGGAACAGACATGTCAGGCCACAGAGGATGTTGACCACCAGAAGGATAAAATTACATTAAGCATCTATTGATGATAT